CGTCCGGTGTAGACACGGTGTAACGGTTGCCTGTTACATTACAGTAAATAAAATTTCACTTACCACATAAACAGAATAAGGAGAGATGACTGGGGACGATCGCGAATGATTTGCAGATCCTGTGCACCACTGACAAACATCTAATCTTGTAAAATGTGTGGTAAGTACTGCTGCTCCATAGTATAAACAGACTACGTGCGATCGCGAATCTCGAAAGTGAAAGTGAAACTTAAAAAGCCATTGTGCATTCAAAAGCAGTTTCAATGCCAGGTATAATAGCGGCTCCCTGATGCCCGAAATATATGTAGTATAATTACCCAATGATATAACTGCGAGGGAAAATATTGAAATATATATATTTTCCTCCCATCTCGTATTTATTCCCTTTAGGGGTTCCGTATACACGTAATTTTCTTTCCGAACACGGTATTGGGATGCGGCGGATTGCGGGGAGTATTGGGTGGGGAGGGGATCACAATGCCGGCTCAACATCGTGATGTCTATCAGCCATCGGCGATGGTCGATGGCATCGTCTATCGGCCCAACCCTAATTCAAACTGTCAATTCAGTCAATACAGTCAATGAATGAATGAATGAAAAAAATATTAATTCAAATTTTCACATACAAATCCAAGGTGCTGAATTCAAAAATTTGAAAATGTCAACCAAAATATCCAAACTGTCGTTCAAATATTCAAATGGTGAATTCAAATAATCAAATAAACATTTAAATTACTGTATCGATTCAAATATTTAGACAAACATTTGCACTGTGAATTTAAAACATTCAAACTGTCAATTCAAACATTGAAATATTGAAATTGCCAACTGGACATTCGAATCCAGCATTCAAACAGCTGACTGCAGAATTAAAGCAAGGAATTAGCTGAATATAGCATTCTGGGACAATTAATTTAACTACAATTTAAAGAATTATTTAAAAACAATTGCTTTTAACATTTGACCAACAGGTGGTAATGTCACTGAATAGATATGACATTATGGAAATCAGTCATTATCTTTTCTTTTTGTTTAGTTAGTATAATGGAAATTGAAAATGGGAAATCTTTTAATAGGGACAGACTTCACCCTGAAAAAACAGATACATAATTTATGCATTTCGTAAAAATAATAATGTTGTTTATATTCATGAAGGGTTGTGTCAGATTTTTTTTTTTTTTTTACATCATGCCATTATATTTATCGATGCATTACACTAGATGATCAAAAGCATCTGAAAACATTTTGATCATTAGGTGGTGCTGCCCCAAATTTTTCAGGTACTTTCAAAGCATGATGACACCTAACAAGTTTCAATATCATGATTTTAGGCCAAACTATTCAGACATTTTAATCTATTTGCCATATTTCTTGATCAGTAGGTGACGATTTGCCAGTAATCTGCTCAGGTACCATCAAGGAATAGTCCCAGTGAGTTTCATTTCAACAGGCCAATGTGTTATGAAGACAGATCCTCACTTTTTATTCAGCAAATTTGCTGATGCATTATAGAATCATTTTTTTTATGATTTACATTAAGACCGTTCTATCCACATACTGGTATTTATTGGAGAGCTCATTGTAATTTCCTGGTTTGTTGCAGCCAAGATTCAGATTATTTAAAAAATCAAGCCTTTTAGAACCTAAATATAATTTTCATTTATAAATAAACAAAACTAAAAATTGTATCACTCTCCTAAATGTTTTTGCTAAAAAATAATAAAAATCATAAAATATCATAAACAAAAATTTTAATAAGTCAAATCGGTCAAATCCTTTACCGTACTGTACTGTACATGACTGTAGAAAGTAAATAAATGAGGAAATACCTGATATATTCTAAAGGGAATATAGCGGAAGCCTCCCTCATCGGTAGGATACTCCATGAGCTTTCGATTCATGGCCCAGAACTGGTCGAATTTATCTGATAAAAGAAAGAAATTGTTTTAATCAATGACAATAACTCATGTTTCATTTTGATTCTCTCTCTGAAATTATGCAGCACAGTATTGTACCAACAATTTGAATTTCTTTTCAGCCTCAGTCACCAAAAATTCAATGAAAGTGAATAGTGGCTAAGGCAGTCAGTCCCTAACATCTGTTTAGCATCTCTTCTTGTGCTCCACAGAAGAAAGAAAACCATTTAGGTCTGGAACAAAATTATTCAAAATAAAGGTCCATTCACACCAAGAACAATAAATACAAAATAACTACAACTATATTAGCATCCACAGCAACGGCCAATAACATTCTGTTTATTATAAGCGCATGATGCTGTTTTGTTGTCTGCCGCTTTAAATGCTTGAGCACTTTAAAGTCGGACAGATTCTGCCTGGCTGCCATTTATACAGCAAATGTATTTATTGTTATTCAGCTGGAAAAAATCATTCTGAAAGTGATTCCAATGATACCATTCCTCTGTGTCATTATCATTACAGCTGTGAATTATAGTTGTGGATTTCCCTATTCTAATATAATTATAATGATTAATAACATTTTATAGTTACAGTTGATAACTTTGGAATAAACAGGCATGAGTTCTGAGCTAAGCCGTGTGTGTTCCGTCACGCTGGCTGCGTTCTCACATGTGCAGGTGAAAATCAACATCCGCTTAGAAATTGTTACTTTCTCTGCTCACACACTTTCATCAGAGAACAGGACAGCTGTGACAGTGTGTTATCAAAACATCTATGCTTCTGAAACTTACACCTCTCTCAGTTTATCTGCAGAGCTTCACATTTTCACCTTTAAATTAACTACTGAAACCACTGCCTAAGCACTGCCTGCATCGCACACACTAATTCTCAGATGAAAGTATGGGTTTGAAGTTACTGAGGACATTATGTGTAAAGCTCAAAGTTAGAATGCACCACACAACTATTAAACTATTTAAACTATTTCACGCAAAAATGAAACTTTACTCAGGACATCCATGATGTAAATGAATTTGTTCCTCCATTTTTTGGGCAGATTTATAGAAAATTAGCATTACATCATGTGCTCACTTCAGAGGATCCACTGTTGAGCATGTGATATAATCTCCAAATCTGTTTGAATGAAGAAACAAACTCATCTACATCTTGGATGGCCTGAGGGTGAGTACATTTTCAGCATGTTTTCACTTTTAGGTAAACTATTCTTTTAAAATCTGAACAGACTTTCAAATTATTCATACACTTTCCAACTTTGTAAATGGTTACAGAGGAAAAAACTGGACTTCATACACTAAACAACTAAGGATCACACAAACACAACAAACTCATGCTTCACATTCAAGCGGCAACCTCCCGCTCTCTCTCATGAAGCCAACACGGAAGTGACTTAAACTGTAATGCTCGTCAGGAACTTACGGGTGACATCACGGACACTACGTCCATGTTTTTATACAGTCTATGGTCACATTGCTAGGAGACAGATGAAAAATTAAAACAATATTTGTTCTAAAATCATCTCAAAATATTGAATAGTTTATATCCTCTGACTGGACGGAGTCTGTGTCCATCATACACTATGTAATTTTCTATGAAATCTGTCAACTATGACAGCTAAAAATCTCCAAACTGGCTATAACTTTCTGCAAATACCGTCAACTCATTCAGACTGCAAACTGGGGCAAAAATATGGGCAAAAGTTGAGTAGTGTATCCCAGTTTTAAAGGCATTGTTCACCCAAAAATGAAAATCCTGTCATCATTTACTCACACTCAAGTTGCTCCAAAAGTTTCTTTCTTCTGTTGAACATACAAGGAGATATTTTGAAGAATGTGGGTTACCAAACAGTCGCTGGTCCTCATTGACTTCAAAAATATGGGGACCAAAAACTGTTTTGTTACCCACTTTCTTCAAAATAGGCCTGTTTTTTTTGTGTTCAACAGAATAAATAAATTCATAAAGGTTTGAAAGAACTTGAGGGCAAGTAAAGGATGACAATTTAAATTTTGGGGTAGCTTATCCCTTTAAGGCAAGACAAAACAAGTAAAACTATTGTTTTGTTTTTTCAGCCGCGGGGCAATTTTGGGCTATTTTTTCTTCCATAACTTGTCTACTTTATAAGTATCGCTTTTTATTTCACCTCTTTCCTACTACTTGTTTCACTTCTGTTTCAGTTTTTTATAACCATTTCTTACTATGTGTCAGTAAGTTGTTGTTATTTTAGCATGTGTGTGTTTCTTTTATTACACTTTATGTATTTGGATCTGTAGATTTCTATTACAATACATATTTTTAAAGGCAGTTTCTTCAAAATTAGCATTTTCTCCTGCACTAAGCCATAAATCTCTACTTTATTAGCACTAACACACACCAAACTTTACAGCTTTATCTATATTATGAAGGTTTCTAAAGATTTCTATTCCTAACAAGGTAAAAGTAAAAAGGTATTTTTTTTCCTAGCTGTTGACAGTATTTCCTGAATTATGGAGCAATAAAAAGAGATATCCAAATTCTAATATTAAATTAAACATTTATTATTTAAACATAACATTTCAGAAAACTTTTAATAAAAATTAATTGTTTTAATCTACAGTGATTTTTCACATAATTTACCTTTATTCCTGTACATGCCTTCTGTCACTTGATTGACAGTTATGTCTTTAGCAAGTAAAAGTCCTTTTAGTACCACCTACAGGTTGTAGTACAAGTATATTTTTGCTGTGAAAACTTAATTTAAACATAAGAATAAATGTAATATTTCAAGATGAACTCTTACTGAACTTGAACAACTTATGTTTACTTAATTATCCATTCATGATTTTCAGCAGGTTTTTGTATATTTACTTGATTATCCATACATCATTTTAGTAGGTTTTAGTAGGTTAACTTTCATTTTCTAATATATTTTAGAAAAACAATGTGAGTATCAAATATGCACTGCAAAAAATGGCTCATCTTACTTAGTATTTTTGTCTTGTTTCTAGTCAAAATATCTAAAAATTCTGAAATCAAGATACTTTTACTAGATAAGCCAATTGACTTAAGATATTTAGTCTTGTTTCCAGGGGGAAAAAACTAAATTAAGTGCATTTTGCTTAAAACAAGTAAAATTATCTGCCAGTGGGGTAAGTAAAATACTCTTGTTTTAA